AACACCCTAATAGTGATTCAAATATTTGTTGAATAGAGAAAGGCTTAGTTGAACAAATTTATGGCACTTTTGAAAATGCAAGTTATTTAAAGCCTATGATTTTTCATTGCATTATTCATCAGAAGGTACCATGAGGAAAAAATATAGATCTGTCATGGGATATTGAACTGGTATCATCAATTGTGAACTTCATTAGCTCTCACAGACTTGACCTTCATCCCATTCTTTGAATCTTTGTCAGAAATAGAAGCTGAATATCTTTATATGGCCTCCAACTCAGCAAATCCATGGGAGCAGTGGCAAAATTGTCCTGTACTTTATTTCAGCTCAGGACCAAGACAAATTTTCTGAATAAGAAGAATCATCCCCTACTGCTGTTAGCAAATGCTGAATAATTTTGGAAATTAGCTTTTTGCCTCAGACTTATTTTAAAATATTTCTTCATGAATCCAATCTAAAATCACAAAGCAAGACAGCACTTAGATGCAAAGTTTATAATGCAGGAAAGTCAGTGCAACAAGTAACATGATTTTAATTACAAATGACCTCAAGCTGGTGTATATACTTCCTATGCTATCAAAAGTAAAAACAAGGGTTGGGGATTTAGCTGAGTGGTTCTGCCACCTGCCTCGCAAGCACAAGGTCCCAAGCTCAATATCCAGTACCAAAAAAAAAAGTTAGAACAAGATCTCCATCCCATGCAAATTTGCAACAAACTTCCAAGTTCTAACACTGTTTTTTGCACTTCAAAGCAACTGCATAAGAAATTCCCATATTTCAGAATCTACTTAACTGTGGAATTAATGGTCTTCTACTTAGCCTTCCAAATGGAAATGATTAATCTGAAATGTAATAACATACTAAAAGACCAGTATCAGGAGAAGAGCATTCTATAAATGTCTTCCAAGTAATAAATACATTCAATCAAAATCATATGCTATAAGTTATTACCATAATTTGGCAGTACTTATCTGAATGAAAAGACAGTCTCAAAGGTGAATTGTGTAAAATCTCATTACGGATCAACATTAACAGATGAATATTTGCAAATGATTTTATAGGAAATGCTAACTTTGAATCCAAAAACAGGTGTTATCGTTCCCTGAAAAAAATTCCCTTATATTATTAGATCTGTATCACAAAAATATTATACTCAATTATTACTAGTATGTTTTGAGTTTTGTCATGGAAGAATTTACAGAAATGTATCACTGCATAAGTACCAACATAATATCCTTGATTTTTGCCACCTTTCAAAGCCTAAAATATTCACTATTCCACCTTTTGTAGAAAAAGTTTGCTGGCTGCTGTGTTAAATTATCTTAGACATTCCTATAGTTACTTATAAATCTCCCTGAGGTTAAAATATGCTTTGCCCAGTAAGGAAACAATTGTGTCATCACAAACAAAATGAAGGTTACCCTACCACTTAACTGGAGGTCATCTTTTAATCCTCTTGACCAGGGAGGCTTCTAGCAAGATCATGACCAGATAAATTCTTCCCACAGAACCAAGGCTAATGGCTTCCAAATGAAAGTGAACAGTTTTGATTCATTAAAAGTCTACACTCCCTAATTCTTCTCTTTATATAATAATGCCACTTCCTTTCTAGTGGCTACGTCTCTTGATTGGATTTGAAATGTTTTAGCTAAATGATCTCCCTTGTTAGCTCTCAACACTTTTTAAGTTGATAATGTATGTATATATTCTGTCTTTTAGACTACAACTCTTCTGAATATTACAATGATTTCAAATCTGCTGGAAGATAAAATATGTAAAACTCTTGAAGACACAGGCATAGGCAAAGACTTTCTGAACAAGAAATAACATTAAAAAATCAATGTTAATTTTAAAAGCTTCTGATCACCAAAGGTAACAACCAACAAAGTGAAGCAATGACCTACAGAATGGGAAAAATATTTCACCAGCTACTCCTCAGATAGTCGACTGGTATCTAGAATATATAGAGCACTCAAAAAATTCAGCAGAACTACAAGTGGCCAACAAATACATGAAAAGGGTTCAACATCTCTGGCAATTAGAGAAATGCAAATTAAAGCAACACTGATTTCATCTTACTCCAGAAAGAATGGCCATCATCGACAAATCAAATAGCAATAAATGCTGATGGGAAGATTTCAAGGGAAAAGGAACTCTTCCACATTGCTGGTCGGAATGTAAACTAACACAACTACTATGGAAATACTTTGGAGAGTCTTCAAAAGACTAAAAACAGAAATTCCATTTGACCCAACTATACCTCTCTTGGTTATATTCCCAATAGAGTTAAGATATCACACTACAGTAATACATGTATACCCATGTTTATAGCAGCACAACTCATAATAGCTAAATCTTGGAAATGGCTTATACGTTCATCAATAGATGAATGAATAAATAAACTGTAGTATTTATACACAATGGAGTACTACTCAGCCATAAAAAAAGGATTAAATTTGAATCATTGATAGGAAAATGGATGCCCCTTAAGACCATGTCAAATGCAATAAATCAGACATACAAGCTTAAATGTCAAATAGTTTCTCTTATATGAGAAACCCAAAATATAAATAGCAAAATAAAAGGTAGGCAATAAGAAATAGAGAGATAGATCTTTTGCAAATGGGAAGGGGACCAAGAGATGGAGAAAAAAAGGGAGGGGAGGAAGAGGGGATGAAAACAGAATTGACGTGTGTTATATACCTACCTACTTCCCCGTGAGGAGTGTGATGATTATGTCCTGCAAACAAGTATGAATAAAAGATAAAAATGGAGCGGGGAGGAACACTGCAGCTTCAGGACACAGAAAATAAACAAAACAAAATCACTGCAGATTACATTTTGGTTATCTTCATGGCTATGTCTGACTTGAGGCTGTAAGCTCTAACCCATCCATCCAACTGTGATGAACCTTCTGATACCCTCCCATAGTAAGACTAACAGTACCAGCCAGCCGCAGCAGCTACTCTGTGCCTAGTCCTGAGAGATGCAACTAGTGTCAAACGACAGTCCTTGGCACCCTCAGTCCTGCATCTACCAGTCCAGCCAGCTGTGGGTAGAAAATATTCAAGAGTTTTGATATTGATTCACAGGAACTAGGTTTCACCCCAGCCCTGCCCTCTACTGCGTTTAAGTCTGTGGACTACATTTCTAACTTCTCTAGACTTCTGTTTCTGAATTTTAAAATGGGACACTAAAGTTCTACTTGATGTACATTTTTTTAAAAGAAAACATTCAAAAAACAGTGGCATCTGTACTGAGCATGTACAGACTTTTTTCTTCTCATTATTCCCTACACAGTGAATGTAACAATATTTACGTTGCATTCATACTATATTAGGTATCATTAGTAATCTATATGATTTAAAGTGTATGGGAGGATGTGTGCAGGTCCTATGCCAATACGATGCCCCTTTGTTTCAGAGACCTGAGTGTCTATGGATTCTGGGATCAAAGGAAGGTCCTAAAACCAGTCCCTGCAGATACCAAGGGAAGACCTCAGAGTCTGAATACTTAGTTTTTTCAAAGAGTAAACTATATCATTAATTATATCAATAACATGTTAAATGATAATGGTTTTACATAGCAGATTAAAACCACAATTTCACTTGTTTTTACTTTTTTCCTGAGACAGTCTCACTATGTGGTTCAGGCTGGCCTTGAACTCACAGTGATCCTCTGCCTCATCCTCCTGAGAGCTGGGATTTGGGGAATGTAATATGACACATGTGGCTTGCATTGTATTCCCATTGGTCATGCTGCCCTAGAGTTTCTGCCCATGTTACAGCTGTGGCGAGGGGGCTCAAAGAGCTTGAGGGATCTGCTTCAATCCGCTTCAGTCTGGCTGTCACCAGACTGGGGTTTGGACCCCCGATCTTTAGCCCACATGTATTACTGTTCCACTGAACTCTGGCTCAGTGTCCCTGAGCTTAGCCTATGGGCTGTTCCTCTACACTCAGGACCACAGCTCCTGGGCAGTGAGGGAGGTAAACTGGAGCTGCTCCAGTTGTTATTTATTCAGCAGCTCTGAAAAAAATGACCACAGAAGGAACACTTGCACCATGAAAATGTGCAAATTCTACAACTCAAAAGCTTTTTTTTTGGACCCCTGCAAGCTCATTTACCAGCACAATACTGGATAAACAGGAGGGACACCTGGCCAGAGATCAGGGGGTAGCTGCGTTTGGAGAAATGTGTGGCATCAACTCATAGGCCTTCAGAGCCACAAAGGATGTCAGATCCCAGGTTGTGCATCTACCTCCATCCGTCACGTAAGGAAGAACTGAGGCTTAGCATGCCTAAGGTCAGACAGGCAGGCACAGCACTGTGGCCACCTTCCATCTGCTGCCTCCGTGCTCCTCTGCCCCAGTGAGTGACAATGGAGCCCTAGAGTGGGGCAAAATCCCATCCAGTACCCCAAAGCCCCACCTGCCTATTTGCCTCCTAACCCACCATCTCTCACTGTCAGCTTTTACTACCTAGCATTGTCTTTTTCACAGCAGATGACCCAGGCGAGAAACCCTCCTCCTCAGCCCCCTACCTGTATGCCAGGCACCTCTCAGTGATGTGCAAGGGTTCTTTAAAGCTCTCCAGGGCTTTTTCCAGTCGGATCTTATAAGAGAGTAGGTCCTCAGTTTCATGCACAAGTTGCTCAAGCTTGCCATCTAACTCTTTCTTCCAGAACCTGACTTCCTCAAGTCTCTGTTCTGAAACACACAGAGAATGAAGCCAAGCTTTTTAAAGAGGGTGGCTTATTTTTTATATGTATATATATTTCTCTCTACGGTTAGCTTTGGGGGTGATGCTTATTCTTAAAATAAATAATACTGTGCATATTTGAGGTTTATAACACATGATGTCATGGAGACATACCAATAGTAAAATGCTTACGATAGTGATCACTTCACTTTCCATATATATATATATACTAATTTTTCCTCAAGGTAGTCTAACCCATCAAGTAACCTACTTATCTTGCTCTCAGAAGTCTCTCTCCCAGTACACTTTATCTGGACCCTGCCTGGATGGATGGCTCTGTCACTCACTGCATGGTTATTGTCCCATGCCGCTGTTTCACCTTCATCTTCCTTAACGGGCTCAAAGCCTCATTTCCTGGATTGCATTCCTTCTCCTATATTTACCCCTTCAACATATAGAAGCATATCCTTCAGGAACTAAGAAACAGATGCAGATGACATATAATTTTTGCATGTCTGAACACGCTTTTATTCTACCCTCACTATTCAATCATATTTGCACTGTTGTAGATTAGATTTCATTTAGATGTTGGTGATGTTGCTTCATTCCTTCTAGTTCTCAGTGTTTTTGTCGCAAGAACTGAAACCATTCTGATTCCTGAACCTCTGAATATTATCTGCTTTTCTACTTTAAAAGCTTTTAAGAATTTCTCTATTGTCCTAGTGTTCTGAAATTTCCCACCAATGTGAAACTTAATTATGCCAGTTATTAGTAGGTGTTATGCCAGACACCCAGCATGACTTTTGAATCCAAAACCTTATGTCCTTTGCTTCTAGGAAATTTTCTCTTCTTTCATTGGCAAGTTCTTCCCCCTCACTTTCTCTGCTCTCTTTCTAAAATGCTCATTAATTACTAGGCTTCCCAGATTGATCCTCTAATTTCCCTTTTCTCTCCATTTCTTTGTCTTTTTATCTCTATTTCTGGTGTATTACCCAATGTCATCTTTTAATACTTCTTTTGCTATGTCTTCCTGCTCTCCTATTTTTAATTCCTCACAAATCTTGTTTTCTCGATGTTCTCTTTGTTTAAACTCTGCTTGTCCCATGAATGCAGTATCTTCTCTGGATTCTCCAGGACCTGGTAGCATACTTCGTGTTTGCTCTATGAACTGTTTCCTAAATTGCCATGTGTTTGATTATTTGCTTGTTTCTGTGTCTGCTATGTTAGAGACTCTCTCCAAATGCTTAGTAATGATCCCTGCCCACCTCACAAATGAGACGCTAAAACACTACCTGGAAGCTCTATCTGTATGGGCAGCACTTGTCGATCAGAACAGTCATATTGTACAAAGTGAGCAGGCAGACACAGGCATTTCAGTGGAGAGTCCCCAGATGTTCATTTCTATAGATGTTTCTTTTGGGACAAGTTCATTTCTCCATACAGAAATCTTTCAAACTATTGTCTGGGGGTAGAAGCCTAGCCATCAGTGTCCTACGAACCAGCTAGAAGAATGACTATTCAGTAAGTTGACTTTCAATGAAACTTTGAGTTTGAGTAGTTGGGGTGAGAACAAGTCAGAGTGGGAAAGGAGCTCTTTATAAAGATTTGCAACCCATCTTGTTTCTAGTTATGTCCTGAAATTTCAGCTTTGTACATAACTGGATGCATTTGACTTTAAACATTTCTGCAGCATGACTCTGTAGCATAAGTCAGTTCGCTTATTATCCCCTACCCATCCTGACTTTCCATAGTCCCTAACTGTGTTATAACTTGCCTTTTTTCTTTCTAGCTTCCAAAATCTTATTTTCATCATTTATGTGTAGTTGCTTCCTCCCTGCTCCTCTTCTTGTTATTTAGGCCTAGTTTCCATTAATCCTTTATGGCAGTTTTGGTGGAATTTTAAAAGAAAGAGAAAGCAAATGCACATACTCAATCCAGCATGTAAGTTGAAGTCTCCCCACTCTCATTTTGGTTTTTGGTTTTTTGGTTTTTTTGTGGTACCAGGGATCGAACTCAGGTCCTTGAGCTTGCGAGGCAGGCCACCGAACCACTGAGCTAAATCCCCGGCCCTCCCACTCTCATTTTGAAGTTAACTTCTGCCCCTATCTTTCCCCCTTCCACTCCTCTGCTGCACCTGTTATCTCAAAGGTCACCAGTAACCTTTGAGTCACTAGTTTAAATTCATTTCTGTTCAGCTTTCAGCCTCCTTGACACTTAGACAATAATCAGTGGAAGATTACATCACCCTCAAAGCCCTCATCTTTGGTAATTCCCAATCTTGGCCTCGTAATTTTATTCTTCTACCTGAGCTTTTGTTCACCGATCCTTCTCTTAACCCTTTTCATACCCTGGTCTCTTTTCTTCTCTTTTGACACATTATCTGTGCAATCTAATCTACATATAAATGCATCCAGTTATCTATATATATGGCTACATACTACCTTCTTATCATGATTCACAGATTTCTACCTCTACCTCCTAAAATTTGACTGGTTACCTGCTGAACTGAACTTTTCAATTCAAGGTCAAGTAGATGTAGACTAAGTGTTCACTGGGATGGGAAGCTGGGCAGTCACTGGGTCGGACAATGGTTATTTATCCCCTCCTCTAATCTGACAGTGCTTTATCAGTGTTATTCGTGGAAAAAAAAATTTACACCACATTCCAAGTATCTGTGTATCTGATGGCTCTCCACTTTCAGACTGCTGGTTTCCCAAGGGCAGACACCTGTTAAATATGTCTGTCTCAACAACACCAGCACTGGATTGCATCCGCAAGTTATTTTTAACTTTTACTGAAATACCATAAAATACATAGAAAAGTGCACATACCATATAATTCAATGAGTCTCCACAGTGAACATACCCATGTGACTAATACCCAAATTAAGAAACAGAACATCACTAGAATTCTAAAAGGTTTCCCATGGCCTCCTAACTCCCCACAAACCACCTTAGGCTTCTAATGGTTTAGACTAATTTGTCCTTGTTTTCTGTTTTTCTGCTTTACTCTATATAAATGAATGATAGGTCTTCATTTTTGTAGAATTATACTCAACATCTTACTACATTTGTGAGATCCACGTGTAGGGTACACACAGTTAGAGATCAGTAGTTGTCTTTGTGGTACAGGAAAACACTCATTATCCATTCTCCTGTCAATGCGTATGTGGGTGGCTTCTAGGGTGGCACTATTACAAACAGCTCTCCTTTGAACGTGGCAGCATTTATTTTTAGTCAATATGTGTACGTATTCCTATTGGGGATGTACCTAAAAGCGGAATAGCAGGGTTAAAGGTTATATACATCTGTCCCACTTTAGTGGATATTACCAGAGTTTTCTAAAGTAGTTATGCCAGTTTATACTTTCACCAGTGGGCTGAGTCCAATAGCTCCTTATCCTCTTCAATGCTTGCCATTTTTCTTTTTCCATTCTTTTTACCCTTCTTGTTCTTTTTTATCCAAGCCAACCCGGATGTGTGAGGGCATCCCAACCATGGTTTTAATTTGTTGTTGTTGTTGTTGTTTGGTTTTTTTGTTGTTTTCATTTTTGGTTTTGAGACAGGGTCTCACTATGTACTTTCAGCTGGCCCTGAAGTCACTGTGTAGCCCAGGATGGCCTCAAACTCACAGTGATCCTGCCACAGTGCACCACCACACCTGGCTCTGTGGTTTTAATCTGTATGTCACTGGTCTAACAAAGTTAGACCACCTTTTCACACATTCATTGGCCATTGGATTTCCTCTCTTGTAAGCTATCTGTCAAAGTCTTGTCCATTTTTTATCAAGTTTTCTGCCTTTTTCTTTTTTATTCTTAAAAGTTTTTGCTATTCTCTGGATACAAATCCATTGTCAGATATGTATATTGTTAATATTTTATCACACTCTGTGGCTTGCCTTTTCAGTCTTTTCATGGAGCTTTTTTGATATACAAATGTTCATCTTAATATAGTAGCCTAGTTTATTATTTTTTCTTTTATGATTGGTCTGTGAGTGCATGTATCCTACTTAAGAAAGATGTTCTCCAAATCAGAAAGATGTTCTCCCCTAAAAGTTTTATTTTACCTCTCCCACTTACATATATACACACCTAGATTTGATGTTTTTATATATGATGCAAAGTAAGCACTGGGAGATAAATTTTCCCATGAAGGCCAATTACCCAATTTATCAGAAAGACCATCCTTTTCCCATTACATCCTATAATGCTTTTGTCATAAGTGAGATGAACATATATGTGTGGGTTTTCTTCTGGATTCTCCACTATGTCCCATTGGTCAATTTGTCTATCTTTGGCTATACTTCACTTTTTTTTTTTTTTAAGACAGGATCTTACTATGCATTACAGGCTGGTCTTGAACTCACTATGTAGCCCAGGCTGGCCTCAAATTCACAGCGATCCTCCGGCCTCAGGCTCCAGAGTGCTGGGAATTACAGGCGTGCGGCACCACAACCAGCTATACCTCACTGCCTTAATCCTACTGTTGATAGTGAAAGCTGGCAGGTATGGTCTCCTTCAAGATAGCCATGCCTTTTCTTGACCATGTGAATTTTATAAGCAGTTTGCCAATTTCAACAGAAAACCTGTGGAGATTTTTATTGGCATTGCACTACATCTATAGATGTATCTGGGAGAAATTGGCATCTTTAAAATATTGAATCTGGGCCAGGGATTTAGCTCAGTGGCACCACTTTTGCTTCATAAGTGCAAGGTCCTGAGTTTGATACCAATACAAAAAAAAAAAAAAAGACTCAGACCTTGGGCTAGGGATTTAGCTCAGTGGCACCACACCTGTCTTGAAAGCATGAGGTCCTGAGTTCAATATCCAGTACCTGAGAGAAAAAAAAACTTAAGGCCTTGAAAACCAGTCCCTACCACTCCCTACTATCTTAATTCAAGCCTTTTGTTACCTACCCATCCATGACAGACATTTGAGCTTGTGACCTCTGCTCTATTACCTTTTGGTGTTTGACAGTTGTTTGTTTCACTTTACAATTGTTTTGTTTTGTGTATGTCAGGGCAGCATCCTTTAAATGCTGTTTTTAAACGGCCTTTAAAAACCAGCTCAAAGGCCAGGGATTTAGCTCAGTGCTTCCACTGCCTGCCTTGCAAGCTCAAGGACCCAAGTTCAATGCCTAGTACAAAAAAAAAAAAAAAAAAAAAAAAAAAAAAAGCTCAAATGCTTTTCTGTAGGAAATCTTTGCCAGTCCCACTGCTAACTTAGCTTCCCTTAAGCCAGAACCTATCTGGTTATGTTTTGATTGACAATTTTTATCTTTGTCCTCTTCAATCCAGGACTTCTGAAAAGCAGAGACTGATGTTTCCCTTCAGTATTCTCAGGGCATAGTCCACAAAAGCTCAATAGGTCTGTAGCAAGACAATGAATGAATGAATGAATGAATGATGCACGAAAATCAGACTGAGTCACGATGTGTCTATCATAGTATCAGAGAATTTAACCACAGGACCTGGAGAATACACATTTTCTCCTGATATTTCAAGAATGACACCTTGGGGTTGGGATTGATTTGGCTCAATGCCTGCCTCACAAGCACAAGGTCCTGAGTTTGGTCCCTGGTACCAGAAAAAAAAAACGAATGACACCTTGTCACACTAGAGCAAGACATGATAAATAAAGCTCGACAGCCTCATCAGAACGCTCACAAATATACCATGGTCTTACCAAGTTTCTTGTTCACATCACTTTGGGATCTCCTTGTGCTCTTGTCAATTTCATCCACAAGCCTCTGGCTTTCTGCCACTAGGCGTTCTGATCGGGATCTTTGGGCCTCTGCCCTATGGTACTGGTTCTTGTTAGCAATGTGCCACTCCGAGGGCAGGAACTTGGGAGGAGGTTGTAGTAGTTTGGCCATTTGAAATTTCCAAAGTCCTGATCAAAGGTAGACTTTGTTTTAAATCACATGAAAGCAATTTGTTCCTTTTCACTATTATTAGACTGTGATATTCATACCCAAAAGTGCACAAATCATAATCTGTACCCAACACAGATACATCTGTATAGCCAACATACAGATCAAGAAACCAGTATTATCAACATCTCAAGACTCTTTCCAGGTACTTAGTCACAACCCCAACCCCACAGAGTGACCGCTAACCTGACCTTTAACATTACAAATTAGTTCTTCTGGCTTTGAACTTAATATAAATGGAATCATAAACTATGTATTCTTTTGCAGCTGACTTCTTTCATTCATCATTATGCTCATAATTAATATGAATTAATATTGATAATAAAAAGTGTACTGTAATTTCTAGGTTAGACAATTCTAAGATACTGAATATACACTCTCCAAAATAAAAGGGTAAATGTGAAATTATAAAAGATGAACACCAGAATAAAAGTTAAAAAAGAATGAATGCAAAAAGACTGGTTGTAATGAAGATCACAAATATGATAAATTCAAATACCAATATACTCTTATAATATTGAACAAAAATAAAACAAATGTTTCTGTTAAAAAATTTGTCTACTGTTTATGATACTTGGGTTGTTTCTATGCCGGGGCTATAAGAATGCTATGCATATTCTCCTACAAGTCTTGCCGTAAACATGTGTGTGCGGTTTTGCGACTCAGTAGAATTATTGGGTCAGAGACCAGTGTCCTGCCAAATAGGTGAACCCAGACAAACTTTCTAAGAAACGAACAAATGTGACACTAGTAAACTGAATGCCGAACCTATTCAGCAGATAAAAGAATCCAGAAACTTCCCAGGACAGACAAAAAAAAAAAAAAAGAACAAGAAGAAAAGGAGCACATGGGGAGGAGCTGGCAGAGGCCAGCAATAACAAGAAGATTAACAGGTACAGGCCTTCTGGGCACACAGCTAGGACAGGGCTGAAATCTACCACCCCTACCCTCACTCCCATTCCGACCTGAAATCTAAGGCCCTGCCCCTAAGGGTCTCTGGAACTCTGAAGCCTACACACACACTCACTCTCTCTCTCTCTCTCTCTCTCTCTCTCTCTCTCTCACACACACACACACACACACACACACACACACACACGGACAGACAGAACTCTTGACCAGGCTGAGCAAGTTTGTCTTGAGTGTCGAAAATTTAACCCAAGTCTCCTGGATTAGTTCGAATAGCCCTCAGGCCTAAATTAGAGCTGATTCCAACCCGCACAGGCTTTAGGTAAGGCGGAGGGGTCGGTGGGGCGTTCCGAGGTTCACTTACCTCAGCGCTTCAAAGAATTAATACACAAGCTGGCTACTAGCTTCTTACCCCAAACTGGAGCGCGGGGCTCTAGAAGAACAAGACGCTGCGTGGTTTCCGTGGCAACCGGTGACGTGTCTCGGGGTAAAGGGGGAGGGTTCTTCCTCGAAGCACCGGCCGCCGGAGACTGCGCAGGCGCCAATTTTGCGGTTGGGCGTGCTGCAGAACGTGGAACGCGGTTCCGCCAGCAGGGACGGATCCTCAGCCGTCTCAACCCCAACGAAAACGCGGGACGCCAAGCTGACTAAATCACCTGAGGCAGTCCTGAGCCTCCCGGTCTCGGACTACCCCGGCGTAGGGTGGAGTCGGGTTGGGTGATGTTCTCAGGTCCTTGCGGCTGGTCCGGGACCACCACTCTGAACTCCGCGCTACAGGTAGAGGAGGTGCGAGAGATTCCTGGGGTTATCGTGGCCGCGAGTGGGTAAGAAGGAGCCTCAGAGGGCGAGGAGGGCACGATACACTCAGTGTGGTGTCTGGCTCCGGTGTTTGGGGAAGAAATACTAACGAGTCTTCAAGCAGATGACAGCCCAAGGATAAGAAATCTACTCAGTGAATGAGCATACAGCCAGAGCTTTTCCTTAGAGTAAAACTACGCAAAGTGTTTTTCAGTTTCAAGTGATCTTGAAATTCTTATGGTTTGAAATAAAGTTATGCTTCCTTATCTTCAGCCACTCTATACCAGCTTCTTGCTTTTCAGCATATCTGTGCACCACCTGTAAAATTATTTTCATATTTTTCCTCAAATACATGTCACAGGTAGCATATTTATTTTGAAAATAGACTTTGCACCGCTACCAGAAATGGGAAATTAGTATCAGATGTGTGATAAAAGTCACTGTAAAGATAAATAAAGTTAGACAAAGCAACATAAAAGTTAATGTTGATCAAAAACAATGAGATAAAATTAATAAAAAATATAACCTATTGTTAAACAATTTACATCTGAAAGCAAGTTCCGCAGTAAGAGGAATGGACCTGTTTATGATTAAGTAGATGTTGTTAAAGATCGCTTGTTTTTTTAGTTTTGGTGTTTATTGACACTAGGCGGGGCGGGGGATTTAGCTCAGTGGTGCGGCCAAAAACAAACACTAGAACTCTCAACTCACTAGTAAACATATTTAGAAAGGTTAAAGGATATAATGACCCACCCCCCAGTAGTGATGTTTTTCCAGTGGAAGACCTAGGAAGTATAATCCTCCCGTGGATCCAGGAAGGACGGAAGAACCTGAGATGAACCCCAGAAGCCTCTAACACAAAATCCTTTCATTACCTGGCCTCATCTCTGGACTCTTTCACCCTGGAATTAAGAATTAAAGTCAGGAAACCAAGTAGATCATTCATTAAAGCCACAGTGAGTTTCCTCCTGAATGTGTCTAAGTCTCTTCCTCTAAGCCTCTTCCTGTGTGGAGCCTGAATGGGAGGTGTGGGGAGATGAGCTTCTGACAGACACCCCAAAAGTTCCTCTGTATCCACTGAGAGATGAAAAATACGGGAGAAAATCCAGGAGATTCAATAATTGTCAGGTAGGACTTCTAGAAGGAAAGAAACAATGGCAAAACAATGCTGAATGACAACAAAAATAATTAGCAAAACAACAGTAGTCTAGCGGCCTGATCTGAAAACTGAAGTCTTTAGTTTGAAAGACCCATCTGAAATACGCACACCCTTTATATCTATGCCTGTTCTGGTGGAAATTTTTAATTCAAATAATTTTTAAAAAAGAATGAAGTGATTCTTAGAAATGATGCTAGAATAATGTCTTCAAAATTCTAGAGAAATTTATTTCAAATCTGGAATTGCATAACCAGTCAAAACATGTATGTATGAGAGCAAAATAAAGATTTTTTGTTCAGCATGCTGGTACTCAAACAGTTGCCCATACACTTTTGAAAAAAAATCACTAAAAGAAAAGTACAGATCCCAGAAAGAGGACGACATTGGATATAAGAAACAGTGGAACCTACTCAGATGTTATGATGAAGAAAAACCTCAGTATAATAGCTGTATAGCTGAAAAACACAAAAGGCTATGTTAGTGGCGTGTGCCTTTATTGCTTTATAGTTCCTATTGTTGTTTTAGAATGCATCCCTACATACAAATACATTAAAAGTTTACTGTAGAGCAGCATGCCAAGTTACGCAGGCAGCAGGCTCATGCATTCATGATTACCAAGTCTCCTGATTATAGCATATCTCCTGTGTTTGTTTTAATCTTACATTGTTTTATTCAGCATGGCCCTAGGAGCAATAGAATATATAAAATAGATGTGTGTAGTAGGCTATACCAGGTTGTGGAAGTACTCCAGGGCGTTCGTACAACAGAATCACCAAACAACGCATTTCCTAGAACGTGCCCCCATCATTAAGCAACTTTTGGTTATAGGTGAAGTAGCAATAATAATACTATTAATTTGTAAAATAGCAGTGAATATTTATGAATTAATAACATTTAAAGCACAGCTGAACCTGACATAATAGAATTAATAAAAATTACTTATACCTATATTTTCAAGTTTAAAGTTTACATTTGTTAAACAGCTTCATTGGTCTTACATGTTGTAAATTTGAGTTTGTATAAAATAAGCTTGTATCACCTTCATCTCTTTTATACATTGAGGTTCTGTGCAGGATTTCAACTGAAAAAAATCCAGTCATTTAATGGAGTTGCATTAGTCACGTGATGCCCACTAACCAGTCCCAATATTTTTCACTAACTGATCAAGTCAGTCAACTGCTTTGACCCCTAACTTGAACCTTAGGAGACCTGAAGGCTAATCCTGGCTCTGAACCAACTTGCTTGTGTGACCTTGGACATGACCCTTCACCACTCTGTCTCCTTCTCTTCCTCTGCAAATTGAGAGGTATAAACTACATGATTTCTAAGACTTGCTTTCCTATTTTATTTTATTTATTTTAGGTACTAGGGGTTGAACCCAGGGCCTCCACTGAGCTACATCTCTAGCCATATATATATGTATGTATTTTTTTTTTAATTATCAAACAGGGTCTGGCTAAGTTTCCCAGGCTGGACTCAAATTTTAAATTCTCCTACTTCAGCCTCAAGAGAGCCAGTTTATAGGCATGTATCTCCACACCTGGTTGCTTATTTAGAATTTCTTTTCTCTTGAAAAGAAAGGAGTTTCTTCTAAAAGAAACAAATAACTTCTCATTATCAACCATATCAGTTATGAAAGTTACTACAGAATCTTTGGGAGCCCAATATCCCGAGCCACGTGAATTTTTTTCTTAGAACTGTATCTCTCATGCTTGAGCCTGAGTGAGATATACTTGGAGGGGACTTGTTAAATACAGATTGCCAGGCCCCCTCCAGTTTCTGATCAGAAGATAGGGGTGGGCTCAGGGACCTGCATTTCTAACAAGTAACCAAATGACACCCAGCTGCTTTTAGGTTTCAGGCTGTTTTTGCGCCATGTAGCCCAGCACTTTGTGATCTTCAGCAGATTAAGAAATATTCCTATTTTTCCTTACTTCACAGTCTGCAGGTTTGGCATACTTGAACTGCTAAGCAATCATCTCAGACACTCATAGCTAAAACTAACTACACTAAATTTTTTCAAAATCAGTGATTCCAGAACTGGGGATTTAGCTCAGTGGTTCCGCTGCCTGCTTCACAAGCACAAGGTCCTGAGTTCGATCCCCAGTACAAAAAAAAAAAAAAGAAAAATTAATGATTCCACTTTCATCAGGAACTATATAGTACTCAATCTGTATATATTACATTCACTGAAAATTGCTTTAAAGATGGATTTATGCAAATACTGAAAAGATTACATCTCGTAAAATAGGCACTGAGTAATCTTTTTTGAGTTGCAAAATTAAAAATATATGGTTCAACTGGATAGTATCTTCTAATAAAATATTGATCTTCCCAAAAAAGTAAATTTTGAGGTCTCTTTCTTCCCTTAAAGGGCATTTCTTCCATATAAAGTTGTATTAACAGATTTTACAAAGAAGTCCACAATGTGGCAGAATATACCTGAATACAAAGTTGTCTTTGTTCTCAATGATGAAATTATTAGACAATCAAGAAGATCTGAAGGTCTAATTTCCAGGAGAGGAAGGATAGTAATGGATACCAGCATAAGCCAGGCCTTCTGCAAAAGTTTCAACAATGGTCTGACCCCTTGAGTTGTGAAAGGTATTTTAAAATTAGCATTGCATAGTAAAAGCTATGTGTTAATTATCGTTGGTTACCTTAACTGTTAATTACAGACTTACTAATTGCATGAATCATAACTATTTCTTAATGTTCTGCTTAAAAGTACATCTCAGGATGTTAAACGTGTTTATTGTTTTTACAAACAATTCCTGCCTGTGGGCATGCATGTGGGCCAGGCAAATTCTGATTGGGCCAAACCCTAGAAATGTAAATATTTTTATTCTCCTTGTAGTATTTGACACAGCCTAGTGTCTCCTGATAGTTTTAATGATTCTAAGATTCTATAGCAGACACCACCCAGCATCCTCAGAATGCAGGCAGCACCCCAGCAACCTGCATCAGAAGTCCCCAGGAGGTGCTGGCTGCAGGACAGCTTCCCAGACCCAATGGCAAACCTGCTGAATCAGAACTGAGGCACCAGGACCCTGGCACCTGTAGCAGTGCTGGCTCTCCCCTCCCCCTGCCTTCCCTGGGGTTTCACTTTTCGACAGGAAAGAGAACATCAATCTAAAATTGCCTTTGCACTCGGGCTAGTTTCCTTTGCTGATCTGATTCAAGCATAGCTTTTTGTACTGGGACTGTGAGTTCATTGAATAGATCCCTTGTATTTTAGGAGAAGAAATGCAGTCCCTTATTGCTCACCATCACCGTGGCCACAGTAGCTCTGAGAACAAACCGGCTTGGATTTCACCCTTGAGGATTAACATTTCACAGGCACATAAAGCTGCCTGAAAGTCAAGATGAGGTAGGGCAAAGTGTGCACCAGGCTCCTTGTGTGGTCGGCTTGTCTTTTGTCATTTGTCAGGCACAGCAGCTGAGCCTGCGAATTTGATGAGGTAGCCACAGTCAAGAGCCAAACTAACTGCAAGGTGCTGTCCTGGAGAGCAGAGCAAAGCCTGCTGACCCTCCGTCACCCCAGTTCATGATCAGCTTCACATCCAGAATTGTAGAGGGGAACATTTT